GTTTCTTATCAACTAAATAAGAACAATACTTATCTCAAAAAGTTTTAATAAGAATTAAATGAGTTAATATGTAGAAAACAGGGCAGTGTCCATTATATAAGTACTAGTAGCCCTGCGCAGGAATCCATGCACAAGTAGCTCACTGCTGCTTGCCTCAGGGGGCCACCCAGCCCACCAACACTCATAGCTCTCTGCCACACATAGCTCTCTGCCCCGCCCTTCTGCTGTTTGGTCATAATGTGTCATGGTGTAATGACCACTTGCATCAATTGCATATTACCTCTTTATTATATAGGATATGCTTTTATGGTGGTGGTGGTGATTTGACTATTATTATTTATTTTAATAATAATCAAATCACCACCACCCCCCCAAAAAATCTACTTTTTCCTTTTGAATCACACAGCAAAATACCTGCTGTCTTTGCTTTTTATTTTCTTTTATAAATTTCTATGCCCTCTTCCAGGATCATATCTCCATCCTCCCTTCTGACATCCTCCATGTTTCAACCAAAGAAGGTTATTAGACATTCAGAGGAGGTTTTAAACCCATAATAAAAAGGTATAGTTAAATACAACAAATTGTTGAATCTATACAGAAAATGATCAGTATATCACCTACTTCCCAAACTTCCATGTTCTTGATCCACCAGCTCTCCCTCTCCAACAAGCTCCAAACATCATCATTCCACTCCCTGTCCCCCTCCCCAACAGAGTCCTAATCAACTTGGCCGTCACTCACCAGTCACCATCAGTAAGGTTAATAGGACACACTTCATGTTGATGCCTGAATCTTGTTCTGAAGATAAGGATGTAGTGGAAACTCGTAGGCACAAAGCAGGGATTGAACTTATAACCTGCTTGGGGATTCAGTGGGAGGAGGTGCAGGGGACTGAACCAGGATGAGGACTCTGTACAAGTTTGTAGTCTCAAGGGCTCTCTTTCTGGTCTTGAGCCTCAGTGTAAAATAGGACAGTAGATACAGAAATCTTCTCAGCCAAAGTAAAAAATCCACCCTATGGGATGATGAGTTCCCAGGATTTCAGCCTTATCCACCTCATCTAGGGAAAAGAATTCCAAAGTAGGAGTCAATTAACCTTCTGTAGAGTTAAAAATTCATCCCAAGTTCATTCCCTTGCCTCTCAGTTTTTTCACCAGTTCCTTCCCCACAGTGTGTGACTTGCACCCCTCCCTCTACATGTCCCATTGACCCCTTTCTGTTGTGGACTACTCTGATGAAGCAGAGCTGTCACCACCCCTCTGTGTGACACTGACTCCCCTCCCCTTTATGCATATGTCACACTCAGCCCACCCTTGCTCAGAACTGCTTGACTTGTACAGATCCATACTACACAACCATAGATATCAATTTGAATAAAAGTTCCCAACCAATACCCATCACACTGTCTCCTCAGACATGGCCTGCTTACCCTCACTTGTGCGCTCTCTCGCATTCTCACATTCTCATTCTCTCTCTCTCTCTCTCTCTCTCTCTCTCTCTCTCTCTCTCTCTCTCTCTCTCTCCCTTCCCCTCTCTCTCTCTCTCTCTCTCTCTCTCTCTCTCTCTCTCTGTATTTTCTATCTGCCTTTTTAATTTTTATTTTTGGTGGCAAAATATGACAAGAGTATTACTTAAATGGTAAACCAGATGGCAGAATAAAACAATAATAGATTTAGAGTCTCACAAACTTGGGATATTCTGTGGAGTAAGACTGGGGATAGATATGTCTCCATATGTACAGAGAAGCTATAATAACAGTAATAGACAAAGAACTTAATAACAACTTATTTACAAACATATGAGAAAATGTTGAATATCTCACACACATACATATCATCCACCCATCCATAAGATTCTAAAGTTAATTTTTCAAAGAGAAACTTTAAGAACTATCAATAACCTAAAACAAAAAGGGAAAAATAAATGGGATTCATAAGCTTAAGAATGAGTTAAGGGCTAAAGTTATTAGTATTAAAACAAGAAAACCCACATTCAGTTTGGTAGGCCTCAAAAAAAAAAAAAAAAAAAAAAAAAGCCCTAGTCAGTTTGGCTCAGTGAATAGAGTGTCAGCCTGCAGACTGAAGGATCCTGGGTTTGATTCCGGCCAAGGACACATGTCCAGGTTGAGGGCTCAATTTCCAGTGGGGGTTGTGCGGGAGGCAGCCAATTGATGATTCTCTCTCACCATTGATGTTTCTGTCTCTCTCTCCTTCTCCTTCCTCTCTGAAATCAATAAAATATAAATATATTTAAAAAAAAAAAAAAAGGTGTATAGGTTGGCCAACTGGGAGAGGAGTATTGAAGAGGGATGAAAAGAAAGGCTGACAAAGACAAAATGAGATGAGGATCAAGGGCGCTCCCTAAACCTTGCTTGGGTTTATTCTTTAAGCAAAAGGGAACTACTGAAAAGTTTTAAGAAGACTAATATGACCTCATTAGGATTTTAGAGAAAAAACAATTCTGAATCAGAGAGAAAGTCAATTTGGGAAACAATGGATGGTCACATACATTAGCTCATAGGAGACATGACCTAGATTAGAATGACAGCAGTGAGAATGGGAAGATATTGATGGATTTTAGGGATACCTCAAAATAGGGAGGATTTGGGGACTGAGTGGTGAAAAAAAGAGAGGAACCAAACAAGTGGAAAGTAGATTTATCTCCCAAAATAAGGAAAACAGATTTTTTAAAAATGAATCTAAAAGGCTGGAGAAATGAGGGGTGTGATTTTAATATGCTAAATGTCAGGGGCCTAAGGAAGAGGGCAACAATAGCTTCTGAGAGGCATATGAAGATGTGGGATTAGAAGTCTGGGCTAGAGATGCCAATTTGAAACTCATAGAGAGGTCATAGTCTTAACCTCCTCCAGAAAAATCTTTTTTTTAAAATATATTTTATTGATTTTACACAGAGAGGAATTGAGAGGGACAGAGAGTTAGAAACATCGATGAGAGAGAAACATCGACCAGCTGCCTCTTGCACACCCCCATTGGAGATGTGTCTGCAACCAAGATACATGCCCTTGACCGGAATTGAACCTGGGACCCTTCAGTCCGCAGGCCAACGCTCTATCCACTGAACCAAACCGGTCCCAGAAAATCTATTGTTTTTTACAGATCTTTTCCTAGATAGTGACCCTGCTTTTCTGCTCTTAGATCTCACACTCCCAAACCAGGACTCACACTCCCATCCTAGCCCATAATATTTCCAAATATCTGGGGGAAATAACCTCAGAGTAAGTATATCTCTTTCTCAACTTTTCACCTATGTTAACTAAGTCCATTCTACACCAGAGAAAACCTTCCACAACTCCATGTTGTCTTGGAACCTCAGTATCCAGGGTAGGGCAAAAGTTGGTTTACAATTGCCCTTATGGAAAATAATATGATAATTAATAAATAGTAATACAAGAATAAGCTCTGTGTTTCATGTACACACAACTGTAAACCTACTTTTGCCCCACCTGCATTTCCTTAAGCAGCCCTCTCCACCTCTGTGTTCATTGCAAGATTCAGAAAAGTATGTGTCACATCTGCTTTTCATTTCATACTTGAGGGACATGGTGTGAGGGAACTTTGTGTAGTTTCTCAAGATTCATGAATGTTGGTTGATTAGATGCAGCCTAGAGTATGTTCTTGAAAAGCTGTGTTTATCCAGTAAGACCCAGATTTGACTTCTAGTCTTTCCAGTCCTGAGTGATTTTGAGAAAATTAAATTCTTCCTGTTTCAGGTGTAACCTACAGCTCCAGAAAAAAAATTATATCAGCCAAGCCCTGACTCCTCTTTCCCCAGCTGTGACATTGAAATGAGATTGTGGGCTTAAGAAAATTTTAAGGTTTATAGTGATACAAAAGTGTAATTTACATCATATTAGAGTAGCTTAATATAAAATCACTACTAACAATGTCTCTAAAGAACTTAGTTCAGTGCCTAGGATTCAGTAAGCATTCAATGGGTGTTAGCTATCAGCATTACTGCTCTTTTTCTTGTTATAGTCCCTATTATTCCAAGATGAAAGAGGCAGGTAATTGGCTGAGAAACCTTTTCATTCGGTTAAAAAAAAAAACACTTTGAGATCCTGCCTTCTTAACTATCATCTACACACAGTAGATCCTATAGCTGATGTAATCTAGAATTCAGACCATTCTCCAAATGTCAAAATAACTGCTCTATGAATGCTTTTTATTCCTATACTAGTGACACTGTGCATGAATCAGTGTGCAAGTAGCTCGCTGCCACTTGCCTCAGCTGGCTTCCCTGCCCTTCTGTAGTTTCTGCCACATGTAGCTTGCTGCCCCATGTAGCTTGCTGCTCCACTCTCTTGCTCTAGGTTGTTACCATCACAGCGTAATGATCGTTTGCATATTATCTCTTTATTATATAGGATTTTCTTAGCTCAAAACTGTTGATCAGGATGGCCAGACTAAGTTGGTGGTGATGACTGAGTGATGAAACAGTAACCCCAGAGGAAGATGAATCTAATGTAATAAAGAAGGGAGGGGCTGAGGGAAAGTATAAATAACTACTAGGGGGTTCAGAGCAAATTTGGGGGCACTGTCTTCTTGAGCTAAGGGGGCAGAATTCTGTCCCCTATAGTCCTGGCCTCAGACACTCCATGAAGAATATAAGTCCTGAGTATAAAGCTCCCTTTCCCAGAGACAGCTGAACTACTTTAGTCAGATGGGTTTTTAGGAACAGCAGATAGAGAAACCTGGATCCAGAAATCTAAAGAGATAGGTTCTTTTTCCTTCCTTCCCTGAAAGACCCCAACAGAGGTATAGTCCCCTCCTTCCTGGTGCAGAAGAGCCTCCATCTGTCTATGTGGAACCCTCTTCTTTCCCCATTTAAGCCAAGAGCTGCTTTCCAATCTCATTGCCTAACCCCATGCTTAACCATATCCACTGTTTCTACCAGGTGTTCTCAAGGAGAAGACTGAGCTGAAAAAGTTCCATACTCTACTGATCTTCTCCTACATGTCACAGGGAAAGATCTAGATTGCTATGAAATTTATCTTCTATTTGACTGTCCTTGTTGGTATGTATCCATGACCTTCTGATCTATCCTGAAAGACATGGGTTGATATAGGATGGAGTAAGGCAGATGCAGAGTGAGTAGAGGGTGCAAAAAAGAGTTAAGAGAAAGGGTCATGAACAGAATCAGGGTTTTTCCTTCCTATGCCCCATTCAAGGGCTCGCAGGACAGGCTGAGCCCACTCTTCCATGATAATAGTTTGAATTTACTTCCAGACTTTATTTATATATTTTTGCATTAAATGTTTTATTTGTTGCTTCTTTTCTTAGACTATTGAATTACTGGATTTAATTATTTTTAACTTGAAAAAAGTTACCAGTATTTCCTTTGCTGTTTCATATTTATAAATATTATTTATACAATTTAATATGTATGATGCTCCATTTGTATATGTACTTTTTCATTTCAATGTCCAACATTACTGTATTGGACATTTATGTTTCCAATGTTTAGCTACTATAAAGAGTGCTAAAATAAGAATATTTATTCATAATTTTGTCTACATCTGATTATTTTAGTCAAATGGATTCTTGAGGCTGGAGCTATTAGATCACAGGTGATAAACCATTTATAATTTTTGATGCCTATTTCTAAATTATTTTTCAAAAAGTAAGAATCAATTCACATTCCTACAAACTGAATGAGAGTTCTTCTCAATAAACTTTCCTTGATTTAATCTTATTAATATTAAACAAAAATGATTATTATAAATATTATATAAAATGGTATGTCATTTCAATTTACATTTTTATTAGAAAAAAATGTCAAATATTTCCTGGCCAATTACTTCTTTAAAACTGTATATATTTCTTTCAATGATATTATTTGTTTTAAGAATGTCTTATATATGAAGATATTTTGTTTTCTCAGGAGCATTTTTCTGCACTCACTCGTCTGTGCAGAAAGAAGACCATGCTCCCTACTTGGCATACCTCAAGTCTCACTTCAACCCCTGTGTGGGTGTCCTCATCAAAAAAAACTGGGTGCTGGCCCCAGCTCACTGCTACTTACCGTGAGTGTTGGGCATCCCCACCCTTCCAAAACAGCTACTACTCATTCTGTATCAGAGGTTCTCAAATAGAGGCAACTTTCCTGCCAGGGCATATTTGGCAAAGTCCAAAGATAATTTTGGTTGTCACAATGGAATTGGGGGTAGGGATGGCTGTGCTATTGGCATCTATCTAGTGAACAGAAGTCAGAACAAGGATGCTGCTGAATGTCTACAATGTACAGGACAGCCCCCACAGCACATAATTACCGAGCCCAAAATGCCAATAGTGTTGTCATTGAAGAACCCTGTTGTAGATATTATGCCTCAGTCTCTCATCAGTTTTCTCAAGCTTTGTACTGACAATGTGTGTTTGATAAGTTAAGGGCCAGCAGATAACTTATGATACACTCAAACTGGATAAATTGAGGTGAATTTTTTAAAAGAACAGGAAAGGTATGAACAAGGGAAATAGGAAAAACACAAAGAATAGTTCAGTACTCCCATGGTTGATATTTGAAAGGTGCAGCCCTAGTTGGTTTGGCTCAGTGGACAGAGCATCGGCCCATTAACTGAAGGGATTGCAGGTTCAATTATGGTAAAGTGCCATATACCTCTGTTGCAGATTCAATCCCTTTCCCCAGGGTTGGGGTACATGCAGGAGGCAACCCATAGATGTGTCTCTGTCACATGGATAGTTCTCTCTGTCTTTCAACCTTCCTTCCACTCTCTCTAAAAATCAATAGAAAAAATATCCTCTTGTGAGGATTAATAAAAAACAAACAAAGGTGCAGTTACTATGCCTTGACCTAAAGGGGTGAGGAGAATGGGAAGGAATAGGAAAAGAAGAGCTACAGGAATCATTTTATAAACAGACCACCTTATGAGTTGTAACCTTTTGTCATGAGACACAACCAACAGCCAATCTGTGGCAACCATATAGGAAAGGAACCAGGAAGATAAATACTCCAAAAATCACACTTATTCCTCTGGTTATTTTCTAGTGCTTCCTACTAGCCAAAACCCATTTATTTAAATTAACATATGTTACAAAGGTACAGTGCAGGACAAAGTAGAGCTGTGAGTGGATTTGATGAAGCAAATAGGAGCTATCCAACATTCAGATCCCATTCTCTTACTTCTGCCAGAACAGAAATGCCCAACTGGATAGGTTGGCACTGGAAAGAAGGGAAATAATATATCTGTGCTGTGCACAATTGTTTTTCATTCTTTATTGTTGAAAGTATTACATATGTCTCCCTTTTCTCCCATTGACCTCCCAGCACAGGCCCTCACTCCCCTACTGTCTGTGTCCATTGGTTATGCTTATATGTAGGCATACAAGTTGTCCATGCACAATCTACCTCTCCTCCCCATTAAGGACACTACATAAAAATATAAAAGTTAAATGCTCCACCACTGGCTGTGGGAGTAAGGGTGACTTCATCTGAAAAATAGAGATTAAAAATAGAATTCATTCATTAGTTTGTCATAAATATTAAATGAGGTAACCCAGAATCCAGATGAAGTTCCTGGCACAGTACCTGGCACACTGTGACATACAATATCAGTTTTGGTGATGGTGATGGTGGTGGTGGTGGTGGTGGTGGTGGTGATGATGATGACAATGATGATGATGGTGATGACAGTGATTATTTCTAAACCCTCTCCCTCCAGAAATCTGAAAGTGTTGCTGGGAAATTTCAGGATCAGAGTCAAAGATGGGACAGAGCAGACCATTAGCCCCATCAATATTATCCGCTACTGGAACTTTACTGATAGCTACCCCCAGGATGACCTCATGCTCATTAAGCTGGCCAAGTCAGCCAACTTCAGCCACAAAGTGCAGCCCCTCGCCCTCGCCACCAGCAACGTCCAGCCAGGAACCGTCTGTCTGCTTTCAGGTCTGGACTGGAGCCATGACAACAGTGGTGAGTGTACCTCTCACAGCAAGTCAGGACCATCAATTATCCCTCAAGAAGATCACTCATGTCTGTAGAGATGAGGAGAGAGGGGAGGAGATTGGGAAGATTGGGGGGAGGGAGAGACTACAGGAGCAGTCTGGAAAAAAGAGACCCCCTATCCTAGAAGTCCAAAGCTCCTCCTTTGGCAGGATGTCTGATTCCCCACTGCCTCTTCAGGGCTTCGGCAGCTGGATCACAGGCCATCTCACTGCAAACAAGACAAGGGTCCTGATAGTCAGAAGCAGGATTCATATTAAAGGGGTTGTGCTCCTCCCTCTCATACAGGCTCGTTAATATGCAGAGGAGACATCTGAGGACCTGAGTCAGGTCACCTCGTATTCCTCCAAGCCTGGACACAGAGTCTCTGCTTCTTACAGAGACATAAATGCTATTTCAAAAAGAAAACTCTGCTTCTTACAGAGACATAAATGCTATTTCAAAATCCTCAGGATTGACTCTCATAAATGTCCAGGATCATTTCCTCTCCTTTTCTTACTCCTCCTTTTTCTCAAACACACAACTAGAGTTCTGGTTGCAATAGAGGGTGGAAGGGCTAAGTACCAGCTGTGAACAGGAAGGGTTCTCTCTCCCTTCTCCCCTCAGGCAGGCACCCGGACCTGAGGCAGATCCTGGAGGCCCCCGTGATGTCTGATAAAGATTGCCAGACAACCGAGCAAGGAAAAAGCCACAGGAACTCCTTATGTGTGAAATTTGTCAAAGTGTTCAGCCGAATTTTTGGGGTAATCTTTCCTTTATTTTAGCTTTCATGAATATGTATGTGTTTAGTTAACCACTTAATCCTGGTATTTTAAAAAAATAGAAAGTTTTCATCCTCTCAAATTTTTTGAGAATCTGATAAGGCTGCAGCAAGTCCCCATTGTTTCCTCAGTAATGGGCTCTCCTTACAAATGTCTTTATTCATTTAAGGGTTTTGTTTCAGGCCTGCAGTTCATAATACTTTTATTTTCATAGCTTCACGTGAAAATGGGCATTGCTGACAAAAATAATTTACACTTTTCAGAAATTGAAGCTGGCTTTACAGTTCAAATAAATGGGGTTTGACTCATTTTACATGTGAGTTCTAAAGAGGTTTTTCTCTTTCTCAAGATCACAGAAGGCTAATTAATAACAGCAAAGTCAGATATATGTCTAGAGCTTCCTGTCTCCCAATTCAGTGCTCAGGTGATGACCCAGCATGCAACTTGTTGGCAGGGCTTGCCCAAGTTGGGGACTAGAGGGCTTCTTTGAGGGAGAAATCTGACCATCTCTCTCTCTGCACCATCTCTGATAGGAAGTGGCTGTTGCTACTGTCATCTGCAAAAACAAGCTCCAGGGGATCGAGGTCGGACACTTCATGGGCGGGGATGTCGGCATCTATACCAATGTTTACAAATATAGATCCTGGATTGAGAACACCATTAAAGACAAGTGAGACCCCGCTACTCGCTCTGCAGCCCACCAGCTGCACACCCAACTCTGCTGTTTCCTCCAGACACAAAATAAAAGTGTCCAGGTAAAAATATCTGGAGGCATCACACAAGTAGCCTTATGTTTTCATTTTTGATGGGGAGAACCAGGAAAAAAAGATGAAGAGAGATCAAAGGGGGTTGGGGGGAGAGATATATATACTACTTTTGTAATACCTTAAATAATAAATTATTTTTTTTAAAGATGAAGTGAGCACTTGTTACACTGGATTGGAGGTCATCTACTATCTCATTTAATGCTCATAACCAACCTTTGAGGTTATCCCCCATGTTATAAATGGGAAAATTCTGACTTAAAGTGGTAACTTAACATTGTCCATAGCTGGTAGATATCAGATCCTGGAGTGGAACCCCAAAGTATCACGGTCTCAATCCCATGCTCTTACCCTCAGAATTACAGGAGAGTCTGTGTGGCATCCAACAGATGTTGTTTTTTATTTTCCTGCTATTTCTTTTTATCATCCAAAAAGCTTGAAGCTCTCACTTGGGCTCAGACCCTGGGTACTGGAGTAAGCTTTCCTGCAAAGATTCATGTTTGATTCCACTAATGTACTGTCTGCAGCATGCAGCAGGAAAGAGCTAATGGATGGACAGGAAGCAAAAAACGGAACTCCAGGAAAGTCAACAGCCACGAATCAAGTAAAAAAGGTGGCTGGCAGTTCCAGAGCAAGGGGCATAAGTCACCTACATATAAGGAGAGCATACGCTCAGGGCATCAGTAGAGCCCAAGAGGCAGAGATGGCTGAGAGAAGGTGAAGGATGGGTAGAAATTGGACTTAGCCACAGATCATGAGATTAACAAGGTCAAGAAAGTGGGTACCAATCCTCTTGTTGAGAACTTGGTAAAATGCCTATCCAGATATCCCAAGTCTGGAATTCTAAATACGCAAGCGATTGGGGCATATAGGACAAGGATGGGTAAAATAATCTCAAAAAAAAAAAAAAAAAGATACAGGAAGCAATCACACCATTTCCTTGGGCAATATTTTCTATTCTGAAGGTTTAAAGTACAACCTATACTTTAATGACTTCTGTGTGAGGCATAAAAATGTCCACACTCTAACCCCCAGAACCCATGAATAGGTATCTTACATAGAAAAATGCAACTCTGCAGATGTGCTTATGACATTTATAGACATTAAAAAGGGGAGATTATTCTGTATTATCTGGGTAAACCAATGTAATCACACGGGCCCTTCAAAGTAGAAGAGGAAGGCAGAATATTTGGCCAGAGAGATGTGACAACAGAAAAAGAGGCCACAGAGATTCAAAGCATGAGAAGGACCTGACCAAATATTGTAGCCTTTGAAGATGGAAGAAGGAAGCTGCAAGGCAAGAAATGTGAATAATCTCTAGAAAATAGAAGGACCCTCAGCCACCAACTAGGAGGGAAATAGGCACTTCAGCTCCCTCTAAAACTGCTCGTTCTAAATCACCAATGTCTTGTATATTGTTAAACCTAAAGGTCAGTTCTCAGCTCTCCTTTTACTTGATATTATCAGCATCATTTGACAAAGTTAGTCATTTCCTCTTCCTGTACTTGGCCCCCAGGACATCATGATCTTTTGTCCACCAGCTACTTATTTCCAGTGTCCTTTACTGATGCCACCATATCTCTATAATCTCTCAACATCAGAGTTCCCGAGTTTTAGTCTTAGACTTCTTCTTTTATCTATATACACTCACTTCCTTATTAATCTACACCAGTCTTATGATTTTAAACACCATATCTAATCTAACAACTCCCAAATGTATATCTCCAGTTTGATCATTTCCCTTGACTTCTAGTCTCATAAGTTCAGCTCTCTACTCAGCATCTCTAATAAACATCTTAGATATAACTTGTCCAAAACAAAACTCCAAATCTTACCCCCCAGATTAATATATTTCACCCACTGTCTTCCCCAGATAATCTGATGACTCTGAAAGTTACTAAGGCCAAAAATGTTAGAATCACTTTTTTCCCCTCATTTTGAAAATTTGTTAAAAAGTGGTATGACTATTGAAAAAAAATTATAACACTGTCTGATAGAATTGTCAATGTATTTTTCAATATTATTAGCCTTTTTTAATGATTGTTATCGACAGTATTACAGATGTCCCCTGATACCCCTCTTTATCCTCTCTCCTCCCAGCCTCTGCCCCACACTGGCCTTCACCACACTACTGTCTGTATTTATTGGTTATGCATATAGGTATATAAGTTACCTTCCCATCTCCCTCCACCCCACAAGATATATTGAGTAAAATAAGCCAGTAAGAAAAAGACAAATATCACATGATCTTACTTAGGAGAATCTAATGAGCATAATAAACTGACAAACAAAATAGGTCCAGAGGCATGGAAGAGAATGACTTTTGATTCCTCTCTGATATCTCAGATCCATTCTATAGCTAAATCCTGCCAGTTCTACCTTTAAAACATTGCAACAATCTTTATGTCTTTAATATGTCTTTGAGTGTAAATTCAGTGTTGTTGTTTTTTTCATATAGAGTTAAGCAATTACCACCACAATTTAATTTTAGAATATCTTCATGATTCCTAAAAAATCCCTACACACATAAGCAATCACTACCCATTTTCTCTATATTTTGCCCCTGGAAATCACTAATCTCCTTTTTTTAATCACCATAGATTTTCCTATTCTGGACCTTTCATATAGTAAATGAAATCATATGATATGTATATAGTCTTTTGTGACAAGCTTTTTTTCACTTAGCATTATATTTTTAATTTGTATCTATGTTGTAGCTTGTATGAGAACTTCTTCCCTTTTTATGGCTGAATAATATTCTACTATATGAACATATGTCACTATATATATACTTTTTAAAGCCCAAAGATGTTTTATTTTAGGCATAAAAATATTTCTAAACTTTTCTTCTTGGTGTCATTAGAAATTAAGAATAAAACATTTACTAAAACATTTGTAATGCAGAATCTATTGACCTGCAGTCTGCTGAGAAGGTCACTCTGATTCTGGATCTGCTCTTTTGTAAAGCTCTATAAGCTTTCCTTTTATCTTTGATATTCTTAAGTTTTTCTATAATGTACATAAGAGTGAAGGGTTCTGTCCCAATTTATTCATCTTGTTTCACACTCTGTGAGCCTTTTCAATCTAGTTTTTTTCATTTGTTTGTTTTATCTTTATTTACTTAGTGCAATTCTTGGTCATTAATTCTTCGAATACTTTATTCCTTCTTTTCATTTTTAACATCTCCTTCTGGGAATCCAGTTACACAGACATTAATCCTGTTTTTTCTTTTCTTTTTACTATTTGATTTGATTTTACACTAGGTAGTGGGCACAAAGCAATCCTCCTTAATAAAGTTGACAATTAGCTTCACTCAGAATGTTTTTAATAAAGCACATTAACAAAAAGTATTACTGCAAATTGTTCTGCAATCCAAACATACAATAGCTTGGAAAACAATGTTTGGGGGGTGGGGGGAGCCTATGTAAAAAGACAGATAATAAAACTCTGGGGAGGGAGAGGAGGGGTGGGAAGGAGGGAGAGGGTAAAAAAAATCAATAAAATATGTAAAAAAAATCAATAAAATATGAAAAAAAAAATATATATATAAAAAAAACCAACTAGAACAGTGCAGATTTTGTATGACTCTGATTTCACCGTTTCTTACTGTATCATCAGAGTTAACAATCCTTTCCTTCCACTGGCTCCATTACTCAGCACTTAAAAAAAACACACACTTTTCTTCCTGGGTTCAGTTCACCCAGTATTCTCTAAGATGGGCCTTTTCTTTAAAGTCCCCAGCGCTGACATACCTTGTTTTCACAATCTGAGACCTGTTACCCTGTCTGTCTGCTGCTGCTGCTCTGCTTAGAAAATGGCAGAGCTCTTAAAGTTTCACCTGTCTTTTGCTTCTTTATAGCTTTTTCTGGAGTAACGTGCTTCTTCCTCTTTCATTTTGTCACCTTCACTGGCAGAATCTCTGCTGGAAGAGCTCAAAGAAACAAGTTCTTTGATTTAGGTGCTGCTCCTCCCCACCCTGTTATTTCTGTGTGTCAAACAGCTTTTCTTCTCTTTTACATGTTTCATCTCTTTATTACTTGACAATACCCTCTAAGAGATTTATTTGAACTGGCCTTCCCATTCATCAATTCATCATCAGCTGTGTCGAATCTGCTGCTTAATCTAATTGTTGAGTACTTTCTTTCATCAAATTTAAAAATACATAATTTAAATACAAATTTAAAAATACATAATTCAGAAGCTGAAGGGGAATCAGACTTGTCCTCTCTCCAGGACTGTCCACTAGGGCAGGAGAGAAATGATTGGTAGAATGGCAAATAAGTAAAACTAATCAAAGTTAGGTGAGAGGAACAGAAGTGGGGTTAAGGGATATACTCCCCCAACTTTGATGAATGGGATTCAGAAGTTAAATTTCAAAGTTGATAAAACCAAGTAAGAGAAGCAAATCTTATTTAGAGTTGTGAAAATAATCACTGAAAGAACTAAGGACAGTCAGCCAACCAGAGGCCCATGGCCAGGATTTTGGACCTTGGACCCATTCACAGAGGCACTGGCAGTGTCCAGGCCCAACGCAGACAGGTGCAATGTGCGGCGTGGTGCCAGTATCAGTCCTGTAGTGACTTGGTTGGGTTCTCAGTGGTTTAAACCCTCTTAGTTCCCACACGAACACTGAGTCTGACCTTTCCATGGATTCTTTGAGATGGCCTATTCTCTTCCAACAGTTTATTATCTCATATGAAGTTGAACATATGTATTGGGTCCTGGGAGAAGTATAGGGGAGTTGAAGCACCAATTACTTCCTTCAACATAATTCAGATTCTGTAGATACTATCATAAGTTGTGGTTCAAATAAATAAAGTTTAAAAAAATAGTACTTAAAGTTTTAAAATGAATGATTGGTAGAATGGCAAATAAGTAAAACTAATCAAAGTTAGGTGAGAGGAACAGAA